AATGTTGCACAGTGTGCCTTAAAGAGTACAACTACGTAGCTGAGATGGGAGAATAGTCCGATTTTCCCATTAACTCAAGATTCTAGCTACATGGGCCAAAAAAAGTCTTCGCAATGGATTTGCACTGCTACCTCAGATGGTGGTGGACATATAGACTATGTTTGTCAGCATTCCAGAGACTGCATCAATCATATCACTTCATGGAATACCCTTGGGATATATCTTAATCCTCATCAGTATTATTATGTATTAGTTTTGCTTCAGTTATCTCTTCTCGCATTGAGATGTTACACATTTCACTGTATTTTTTATTATTCTTGGTGTTGGTATACATGAATAGACAAATAGAATGCATGTTTATAGTAATCCTTTCATATTTTCCCCCTTTGGCCATCACTTGTATATTAGGTAACAAGTGGCTGAAGAATGCATGTAATAAGTCCTAAGCCTGTTATCTGGATACAGCCTTCAGCACAATTCCCTGGTTTTCCTGGCATAGAGTTACAGTCATGAGAAGTCTCTAAATATCATATGGTTGTCAAAAGAACACAAACCCTGTCCATACACTCACATATCACCCCTGTCCCCTGCCAAAAAAAAAAAGGCTGGTCAGTGACCCAAACAACTGGAAGCCTTTGGTTTCAGAATCATACTCAGTTTTCCCCTTTGTATTTCCAGTCTCTTCTTTATAAGCTATATGAATTTTAACATGGAAGCTGATGTTGAGTTTCTCCAAATTGTGTGAAGGACACATTTCAAACACAATAAAGAACTGAATAAAGTGATGTTTCTGAGGGGGAAAGGAGCAGTCACTTGTTCCTGAAGTCTTGTGCCTGAAAGGTTTCTTAGAAGGAAATTACATTTGGACCTAATTTGGACCTTTCAGAGCTACATGACTAATGTCTTCTGACAGACCCCTTTAAAGACCTATTGCATATTTTAGCTTCATCAATGGTATACAAGCAAATCAGTGCTCCAGGGTTTTCCTCTGAATGAACTTCAGTGGATCTACACCGAATTGTCTCTTTTGCTATTTGCTGAACATTTTTAACAGCAAATGAAAAGCAGTGTATGACTCAATTATTTGGGAAGAGACTGCAGTTGTAAAAACACTGAACAATTTGAATTACTCACAAAGATCTTTCTAAAGATTATTGTAGAAGATAACCCAGACTGGTTATATAACTTTGTGTAGATGTTAGATGTGGAATTGAATCTAATCAGTTTTCATTAGTAATTAGAATGACTCTTTACAGGAAGACAAATCTGTTTAATATTTCCAATGGACACTCTTGCTGCTACAATATCTAAGAAGGCTTTAAAAGAACTCAGAAATTCATCTTTTAACTGCAGTCACCCACTTAAGGAGATTGGCAGATGAACACATTCTAGTCTTGTTTTCAAAAATATGTGTCTTGTATTTTACTCATCTTAACAAGCCACAGGCCAAAACAGATAAATTATTAAAGTGTGATTCTAACATGTCAAAGCAAACTTGCTTTAGCAAACTTGCCCTCCTTCAAAAAGAGTGATTCATTATGTTTTGTCAAGATTGATGCATTAATATTTTACCTGTTCAGAGCCTTTCATTTCAGCTTGTACAACTGAAATGACTCTCCCCACACTTAAATTCACATAGAGCTCACTGTCTTTATCCAAGCAGTTGTGATGTCATCAAGTAGATGCCCTCCCACTAAGAACAGGAGGCACTGTCTATTTATAGTTAGCATCACCCCAGCAATGTGCTTCTAAACTGGTTGACACTGTAACACTTTTGTCAGACTAAGGCCAACATTGTTAGCTTGTTTTAATCGGGGTCTAATTAATTTGGACTGTCAGGTCTTGTTTGCTAATAGAAGCAGGAACATTGCATTGAGCTCCAGTGAATGTTAGTGCAGGGTAACAAAATTTCCAAAGCAACCCCCCTCCCACTTCCCTCCCAAGACAACACTGGTTTAAAGGTTGAAATGAATGGGTGAGATCTGAACAACCTTCCATCAATGGGTGCCTTTAATAATTTTTTGTAAAGTATCAACAATATTACTAATAGCTATTTCATCATACAGCATACTTATCAAAACAGTTTTATTGGGGAGTTAAAGCAGGTGAGAGACTGACTCCCAGGACACACATTGAGGGCTACTTCATTATTTTATATTATGTACAAGGATATAGAAATTGAATACACCAGTTTTCTATTCAAGGTCCACATGCATTCTCAGGAGGGAAGGACTGTGTCCCTACTTGTACTTGAAGCGGTTTGTGCTGCACCTTCATCCATAAAGGGAAATCTTGTTAACAATCTATTGGTACTATTCTAAATGCTCTATGGGCATATTCTTATGTCATTCTAACCCAGCCTAGCAATAAGCAATGGTGGGTTGCTTGTTGAGAGAACAACCCATGGTGAGCAACCTCTCACAGGTTTTCCAGGAGGCACCATTGGAAAACCCAGTTGTCTCCCCAAGCTTCCCATTGTGGGCTGTTTGGGCTCACAACACTTTTTTCCCTTGTAAACTGTTTTTCTTCAGATCATGAACACTGGCTACCAAGCCAGCTTTCAAAATCTCTGCTTGCCAGAGATGAACATTCCTCTTCAAAGTGGTTCCAAGCATGGTTGCCAAGTACTTTCTGAAAAAAATATTTTTGCCTTTCTTAATTTTCATCAATATGTGCATGTTTTATTTTTATTTTTAAATGTACTTGTGCAGCTGTGGGCTCTTGCACAGGTGATGGAATTGAGAGCCTCAGGCAGGCAATGTTGGGAGTCTCAGTTTGGTGCCTCCCCTCTGGATTGTTCCATGGAGGCAGCAGCTACATTTATTTTGCTCTTTGGTTACATCTGACAGCTGTCAAGAGGTGAGCTGCCAAGTGTAACCAAAAGTATGAATTATTTCATGAAAGGGCGTAACACATCATTCATCCCCTTCCTGGCAAGGTTTTTGTGGGGGTGGGAGGTTGGCCATTTTTGAGCCTTGGGTCCTCCTTTTCAGAAAAAAGCATCTTCTGTTTGAAGGGATATACAATCTAAGTTCAGCTTAAAGTTAGACCCATAACTAAGAGCAACATCCCTGATGTTATCCATCAGTCGTTGGCACCTACACTGTGCAAGCACACAGTTTACATGGTCAAAAACTTCCTCACCATGGTGCAATGCATTGTATTTTTATATTAACATTATAGTAATGATTTCTAAATGTGCATTATAGATAAATTAACATGTGCAGATTGTATGCAAATTGATATCCTCTGTTGTCCTACATTGGGAGAGGAAGAAGTGGCCACTCTCTTCCTAACTTCACTGTGTATCTCCCAAACAGCCAAATGTCTGAAACCCAATGTAAATAGATGTCTACAGATGGAAAATGGTTCTGAAAGAAATAATAAACATTTACACGATCCCTTGATTTTTCTATTCTTTGATTTAACCATTGATCAATAACCGAAAGCTCAGCTTAGTTGCATCAGTGTGCTCAGAGCTGTGCTGATTCCAGCCCTGTTGCATATGAGCGGTGAAACCAACAAATAACCATTACTGGTTAGCATTGAGTTCTTCATCATGTGCTTAGATAACAGGTAATCATCAAGGGAGCTACCTAACCACTTTTGTGGCATGGGGAACTTTGAGTCTGTGGGCAAACAACCAGACCATCACTTCACTATGAAGTCTGTGTTCACCATCTACCCCAGTAACTAGTATCTTTCTTGGGGATCATCTGAGCAGTTCATTGCTATGGGCAAAGCCACAAACACTTAAGCAGATAAAAGTATTAGATGGACATTTCACTTTGACTAAAGCAGCAATCCTCTGAACATCAACTAAGGATTAGCTAAATTGAATACAATTTACATTTCTTCTGCATAAACATAGGTATTGACTGCGCATTCATTTAACAACACATTCCCATATGTATTTCTCCAGAAGTAAGTCCCACTGGTGTTAACAGAGCTTCTGCTCAGCTGGGTGTACATACAATTGCAGCCTAAATATTATTATTTAGATTTAACTGAGTTGTGAATAAAACCGCTGCACATAAATGTTAGGCAGGCTTCAGTTGCAGACTATTTATCCTGATTTGAGATAAACATGATGGAAGAATAAGTGGTGATCTTGAAAATGTCACGCACCCTTTGAAATAGTGTTGTTCGACACACACTGCACTTGTTTACCATCCTCTCGAAAAGTCTGTTTCCCTGATATTTATAGAGAATTTGTCTTCTGTGTCCTCATTAGAAGGTGCACTTTCAGTGAAATATGTGGCAAGGGGAGCGGTTTTGTTACAGACAAGTGGAATGCAGCCTGTTCTTGCATGATAGAACATAGGCAAAAGTGTTGAATATTTGTTTTTAATGTTCAGAATCAAGTGAGCTGTAATCCAAATATTCCTTACTGAATTTTCATAGAAGCTTCAGTATGAGCTACAAAAACAATATGAAAACACTGTTCTGCTGCCTGTTTTTTAAAGGGAGAAAAGTTACATTTTAGCTTACTCAAGAAAAAAAAGCCATATGATGAAATGCATAATTTTTCATAAGCTTGCCGTTCTCCCTGAAGTTTTATTTTGATGAACTCTGAAAGCCCCTGTTCTTGAATTTACCCATTGTGCAGACATCTATCAGATCGGCCATCAGTAGCACTAAACATGGGGTAGTACATCCAAGTTAAAAAATTTCCTTTGATTACTACAAATCCATAGAACCCTTGGGTCCAGAGCTTCTACTGCAGCACAGCTATTTGCAAATAGATTTTTATAGCACATTAGAGCTGGAGGAGAGTCCAAAGAAAATAGTCTTTTTCAATATTAGAACCAGCTGTGACTTTCTTGTGCGGATGACTCATTCATATTTTTTATGGGGTGGGAGAACCAGGCAAAGGACACACAGAGTCTTATTCAAGACGTTGTTTGTTTTTGCAAAGGGTATCCTAGCCACAAGCCAACTTGATCATACCAATGTGCAACTCCATGTTTATTCAAAGCACTTTCTTTTTCTTTCAACAGTTCCAATTATAAAAACAGAACCCACTGACGACTATGAGCCTGCTCCAACCTGTGGACCAAGGAACCAAGGATTAAGCCCTCTCTCCAAACCATACTACAACCAGCAGATCATGATGCCCCCCGATCCTGGCTCGTGCCTTATGGCTGGCTTCACTTCCTGTCAGCAGAGAAACACCGTGATGTCATCCTCTCCCAGCTCAAGTCCTAAGCTGCATGATCTTTCCTCTCCTGCTTACAAGTGCATCACCAACCCAGGCCACAACCACCTAGGACTTCAGCAGACCATTGGAGGTGTCCCCACCATACAGGAAGTGCCAAGGTCTATAGTTGTGCACCCAAGCTCTCCAGATCAGTCATCTCACATCATGCTGCAGCCGCAGGTGAGTCAACATCTGAGCAGTAGCTGTTCCCTTGGTTACCAACAAACACTCTATCCCAACAGTCCCTCCTCTCCAGTTCCATCTGTAACCCAAGAGTCAACCTATTTGCAGTCCTGCAGTCCAACTCACTCTTCCATAATGGGTCAGCAGCAACTGCCGAATGTTCAAAGAAATGAAACTCCAGCAGATCAGCCACTGTCGTTGCCCGAGTTGCATGAGGACAATAATCATAATTTGGCCCCTATTCCTGTAACAATCAAGCGAGAACCTGAGGAATTGGACCAGTTATACCTGGATGATGGTAAGTCTTCTGCAGATGTAGAGGTTTGTGTTGAACCATTTTGATATGTCATTGCGTTCTTTAATCGCCTTTCTGATGGGGAAAACTGCCAATTAACAGCCTTGTGGAATGGTGCAGAATTCAGCTTGGGTGACATCCATATAGGAAAGATTTATTTAATGTCATGAACAATAATGAAAGTGTATAATCTAAATGGTAAGAGGAATTGTTGAAGTATCTGCATGTCTAATAGCTACATTGCAATAATCTTAACCATATGGTCTTGGCTTATGCTATGCCAGTAGCTTGCAGAATGACACTGAAAGCTGATTTGGAATTGCCCCACTGTCCATCAGGTGCTGCAATCTGAAATATGCAAGCCTGCTAAACTGGAATTTAATGACAAAACTGTTCTATTCCAGCTCAAAGCAGTCCATATTAAAAATCAAGACAGGACTTTGACTCTCTAGTAACTGAATTTAAGGCTACTCTCCCTTCCACACCTCCAGTTCCCTTACTTTATATTGTAAATGTGGCTTTAGGTAAAGTTGGCTTTTTATTAAAAAGGGGAAAAGTTTAGGTCCATGTTCTGCCTGCACCACTGTAGTGTTAAAATGCTACAATGAGCTTGTCAGACTCACAAAGATGAATTCGTTCAGTGCAATAAAAGGTGAAGTCTGGAATTTTATTTTATTATCTCACTGAATTGTGGTATGTGCTTTCAGCCCTGGTAGTTCTTATGAAGTTCTTGCCTTACAAAGTTAATGAGGTCCTTTTCAATAGAAGGATAACTTTATCTAAGGTCCCATAGTGCATGGCAAAGAAATACCTTGGAACAGATCTTGCTTTCAAATTAATCTTTCCAATGAAACTATGCATATCTTATCAGGGAAACCAATATCAGAAGATAATCTATTATTTGATTTTGTTTTTAAAAAAAAAACACAGCACTTGAAGTACCATATTCCATTCCAAACAGCACAACTCCACCTAAATTCTGATTTTCGACATTACGAGCAATATTGCATTCTATGGTTACATGGCATTTTAAAACATCCACTCTATTCAGATGTTACACTTCTGAAATTAAAAGAAGGAATTCATTTGTTCAGAAACATTGTATTATGATTGACTGATTGACTGATTGCATTTGTATGCCGCCCCATAGTCAGAGGCTTTCACAGCACAATCAGCAAAACACCAATAAAAATAAAAACAATAACTAAAACCATAATAGAATAAAAACACAATATAAATACAGCCATATAAAACAACAGGAGGAAATAAACATAATATAACTAATAAACCAAATAAAATTGGTGTATAACTAATACCAAACTATACCACAGTTGTATTAATATGGTACCCATATGAATAATACAAAATTTAAAATGATTTTTTGCAGACAAATTAACATTAACTCCCCCCAAAAACCTGTTACATTTTGCAGGTTTTATGCAAAAATATCTGAGGAGTACATTATAATTTTATTGCACTTGTGCCTTCAAATTTAAATTTATCCATGGTTGCTTTTTTAAATAGGAAAAAGATTTGGCAGTTAGAAACAGGAAAATGGAACTTATATGGAATCTTCCACCTGAAAACTTGGACAATTTTTAAATGACCTTTTTCCAAATGGTATCAAAATGAAGTACACTAAATATAAGATGGGGACCAACATAGATAGCACATCTCTTCTCCAAAATATTTATATATTTCTTCACAGTTTGGACTGTCCCAGCTGAAAGAATATTCCCTGAAGTTAATCTAGCACCACATTTGTTACTGAAGTTAGAAGGGTCTTTAGCGACTATGTAGCATCATAGGTAGTTTTTTTAAAAATCCTTTGTTTGTGCAACAATGGACATGCACAAGAACGCCTAAGAATTCCCATTTCGAAAAGTAGTGTTGGTCCTTTTAGTGTCAGGGAGGTTATTTTAGGTTATTAATCTTATTAATGTTCCTTCTGTATATTTTGTTCTTTACAGCTCAGTGCCATTCAATTGTGAAGTTATTTCCTCCCATTAAAAACATCAAAGAAATGAGTGGAGCTTATCAATAAATGTTATCTCTGTAAGCGACAGGGGAACACGTCAGTACCAACAGGAAGAGGCTCCTGGAAAGTAACAGATGAGCCATTTTTTCTAATAGGGAGATATTATTAGTTAGTGTTTCATTGAATATGCTGATAACAAATAATAGTTTGGTGGCAGGACGGGTGGGGGAAGCAACAACGAAATAATTATGACTCTTTAAAGGAGAGTCACTTCTGGTAATTCCTGTTCAAACCTTTAAAATTGACCTGGGTTTTGCCTGGCAGGCTAATGTTGTTTTCTCTAACCTGAACCTTGATCCTAATTTAAGAGTTGCAACATTCTTAAACTTCAAACAGAACCATTTATTGGCCTAAATAACCTTACCTGAAGAAAAAATTTGTGAAACTAAGGAGGCATGTTTAGATAGAAAAACAGCCCGCAACTCCCAGTGTTCCCCAGCCAGGCCCGTCTAGTATGGATGTGTACCAGTTTAAGATAGATGTGTCCATCTTCCAGGTTTCCAGATGTTTTGGCCTGTAGCCAATGGTGAGAGGTGAGGAAGGCTGTGGGTCTAAACATTTGGAAGGTCCCAAGTAACCCATTCATGATTAAGACTTGTTACATCATTGAAACTATCTCTACGGTATGTCCCAATGTTCTTCCTGGTGATGCATGACATGTAATCTGATCTTCATAGTGTATGGTCACCTGAAAGTGTTTGGGGATTTCCACAATAATGCCTCCTTGGCATTAAGCAAGACAGAATGTATGGCAGCCTTCCCTAACTGCATGTCTCAGGGTTCCTGACCATGGAATACAATTGCTGGGGTTGATGAAAGTTGAAGTGCGCAACATCTGGAGGGGAACAGCTTGTGTAAGGCCATGGTATGAGAGTCTGACTGTTACGACTGTGTATAGCTAAAAACTGTGATGTTGCAATGTTGATCTTATGTAATGATGCTAAAGTGAGAAATTGCAGGACCAGTACAAAGTTGCATTGACAATGGTTTGATAGATTACAGTAAGGACTGCAAAAGGATTTATTTGAGCAATTGTTACTTGATATAACTAAAAAACAGCAAGAAGTAGCCATGGAAGACTGTATGCCTTTTTCTCTTATTTTCTTTCAAAGGAAACACCTACTCTAGGACTATTTTTTTTCAAAACCCTTTACCCTGATGGGGTCAAATCCAGACTATTATCACAGTCCAACACAGGGACCCATTCTTTTAAATAGGATTAAGTGTGCATAAGTATGTTAGAAGTTTTTGGTGATTGAACTATAAATCTGATTTACATCCAGTAAGATTACCAGAATGTCTGCGATCAGAATTTTTAGTGGGAGGAAGAGGCTGACATTTTGTATCGACTGTAACTCTTGAACATCCCCATTCAGGTTAATAGAATTGTTCCGGATTATACTGGACATTACCTAACTAACCCTAATCTCTCAACAAAAGCTAACTGCCTGTGCCAGTTTTGTTTCTAAAAATCCATCAGGAACTACCTGAAACCATGTTGGAAAATGGAATTTAGAAACTAAGAAAAAGGTCCTGGGACATACTAGGAGTTTCAGGCCTTTTTTCTGTCTAAGTATGCATAGTATTTTGCCTGGAACTGCTTTGTTCCCGTCATTGCACTGTATATTTAGTTCCTCCCTTTTCTTTCTAACAAAGGGCTTGATTTGATGGCATTATCCAGATCTTTTAAATCCATATAGTTATCTGTATATTTTATATATCCATATATGGGCATGTACCATACAGACGTGACTGGGTTTTTGATATATTGCTGACAGTAGATCTCAAAAGCTCCTCATCAGCATCTTTTCAGTGCCAGTCGGCGTTTGCCCCATGTAATGATCTCTGCACAGCTGTGAGCTTTATAGCACTTTTGCCCATGAATGCATATATTTCAACGGCTTTCTTTCTTTTTTTAAGTAAATTGGGGGTATTAAACTCTCATGTAAGTATGTAAAAAAGGCAAAACCACAGGCAAAGTGTTATTGAAAGCTGCAGCCTAACCAGCCATTTTAAAGGTGTCTCTTAAAAATAACTTTTGCAGTAAAAGCTGGAACTTATGGAGGTAATATGAGCTATTGCTAATGTTCTTCCCATGAATTGCTTACACTGTCAAACTGTTAGATGTCTGACATGTCCATATTTCTCCAGTGCAGCATATATTAAATTCTGTTGCTCTGCACCATATTTTCGGGAAGGAGGGAGAGTGTGTGTGTGTGTGTGTGTGTGTGTGTATTTCACATCTATATATAAATTTGAAATGTGCATGATTGAGTTATATAGTTTATTTGAACAGGAACTATACCAGACAGAATTATTCTTGTGTTGAAATGTATCCTTTTTCATGCACTTGGACTTGTGATTAAAGTGATTGGCTCGTGAAGCATTACGTTTAGTCTGCTGCTGCCACAATTATGCCTTTTCAAAGCTCCTGAGCGTGCTCACTGATTCCAGTAGTCCAGATGTCATCCGAACAACATGACGGTACACTCCAAAGCTCAGTAATGCTGTCAACACACTGGACGAGATTCCAAGCTCCCCATCTTGGCCCCTCCCACCCTTCCTCTCTTTTGGCTTGGACAAGCAGCACTGGAGGAAAACAAAAGGCTTTCCTCACGGAAAGTTTTAGTAAAGCTGGCTCTGTGCCGAGGTTGAGGACCCTTCCTTATTTATAATGATGATTGAAAGTATACCTCCTCCTGTAGTAAAGCATGCTAGGCTGCTAACACTGGGGGTCAGGGTTAGACAGATGTGATGAGTAAGGCCGTGGGAGGGTGGAATAAAGAACTCGAATAATTCATTAGGGTCAAACTGTTAATGGACCTTAATGTCTACATTTGAATAGTAGGCCATTAAATGAAACCACACTGGGTCAGGTTGCAATTGTAAGATTTTCTTCTTGCTGCAGTTACCAGCTTTAGAAAGATACTCTCCATGAGGAGAAGTTTCCTAAAGAGCTAACTCT